TCTGCAATTGAAAAGGAGAATAGAATGAAAACCTGCAACCTCCATAATTGCGCTGCTTAAAATGTAGTGAAATCCAACGATTTCAATACGACCTGTCACGGAAGTTTTTCATTTTTTGTATCTCTGAGATGGAAAACGCTAAAAATTTCATATTGTTACCTCGTAGTCTTTCTATGATTACGTTTTAGGTGACACAATGAAAAAGAAAGGATGCTGACTTGACATTCTGGTTGAAAAAAGTGTGTGACAACACACAAAACGCTGAGTTAACCGCCACAGCAGTTAGCATTACATCTTGACATTGCCATAATAACTGCTAAGGCGCGGTTGACTCACCGTTTTGTGAGTTGTCACACACTTTTTTCATCCAGAATGATAATTCAGTACCCTTTTTTTCGGTGCAGCTGTCAAAGGTTAACAACCTCCTCTCACCCAAAGTTGTCACCATTTGTTTTTTACATCTTAAGGTGATTCGATGGACGCCATATTTTGTGTCAGAACGGCATGCGATATATCCCATGAATAGGTTCCATTTTTTCAGCTACTCGTCATTTTTCTCCAATTTTGAGATCGCAATTCTGTTGTCAGGAGACTAAAGCACTCTCTTACCAATTTTTACGAAGAAATTCAACGTAATAAAGGCGTGGTTTTTTTAGAGAGAAAACATCGAATTCGATACTGATATCGAAACTGCACTTGAATGCGATATTTTCCCTCTGAAAAAACTACGCCTTTATTACGTTGAATTTCTTTGTTAAAATTGGTGAGTGCTTTAGTCTCCTCCTGACAACAGAATTGCGATCTCAAAAGTGGAGAAAAATGACAAGTAGTTGAAAAAATTGAACCAATTGATGCGATATATCGCAACCCGTTCTGACACAAAATATGACATCCATCGAATCACCTTAGCTCCCATTAACCTAAAGTTGTCACCATTTTTTTTTTGCTCTATCGTACTTCGTGCCCATACTCTCTCTACAAAGGTAGCCCGCGTATGAAAACTGCATAAACAGCGTATTTTTCGGCAAGCTGACACCAGAGCGCGTTAGGCGACAGGGAGCCGCAGCGCGCCGCTAGGCTGACAATAATAAGGCCCCACGAGGCCCTGCCAGTCCGCCGATCCACCTGAGACCGCGGCCCGCCAAGAGCGACGGCCACACTTCTCCAATATCAAAGAAACCCCCCTTCAACCCCGGCAAAACTTTCAAATTTCACTGAGCAGTTCGGCAAACCTGTCACTATGCCACACCGTCAAGTCCACTACTTTTACCACTGTTCTCATCTATAATGCACCTTCCATAATGCTCCTCCTTTCACGCAATTTGCAACTTCTCTCTTAACTTTCCACCCCCGCCCCCGGCCCCTCCCCCAGCGGCGTCTGCTAAGCATCCCTTCCGATGTGCGCGCTGAATACGACGAGCCGTCTCCCTCCCGCCTCCCTCCAGGATTTCAGTTTGCCTTCGGGAATGCCCTCCCTGGGGAGGGCACTCGATTTTGAGATCGGGGGTCTGAGGAGCGTCTTAGAATCTGCTCCGAGTTAGAATTCAAGGGAATGTTGGAAAAAGTTGAAAAATTTTAATGAAGCAACTGCAAAAGGAACAACGGGCAAGGAAAACTTGCAGCTTCGAGATATGGAGAGCCTATCGCATCAAGGGTCTAGAATCGACTTTTTTGAAATCTTGAAGCGAACAGGGCAAATGTAGTGCTCCCATTTGCCTGTCAAAAGTTTCGGGATTCGGAACCTTTTTGTTCCAATTTCTCCCACTCCAAGACCGTCAAAAGTTACGGGATGTCTTTCAGATTTTTTCAAAAGTTCCAAAAAATGCAAAAGATTCGGAACATTTTGGGAATTCCAAACGTCTCGAGGAAAATTCAGGAAAATCTCATACGTTCCGGAATCTGGAACTAGTTTTGGGAAATAGGAGCACTGGATGGGTCTATTACACGTAGACATAGCCAAAAGATAAAAAATCTAGCCACAAGGAAAATCAAAAAGGGTAAGCTAAAAAGGTATAGCTAGGGAATCATTATGTGTAATGAAAAAAATAATTGCACAGCAATCAAATGCATCAGGAAGATATATGCTATTCAATCATATTTTCCGATGCAATGAAGGAATACCCAGTTTAACCTAATCGAAAATGGGGAAGCTTTGATGAAAAAGGCCCCGTTAATAAGAGCCTTAAACGTGATACGACTATTATCACGCGGACGTAGCTTAAATTGCATACTCATCGAATTTAAGGCGCCCGCCACGCGCCATCAGGACGTAAGCCTCCTTTGATTTATGATGGTTCCTGATTGGTTGATTAAACGACTATCTTTTAACTGATGTGTGATCCGTCGACTGGTTAGTTTTTTACAATATCTTTCGTTGGTATTTTTCTCTGATTTTCATTTTTCGGTAGAATATAATGAGCTGACTAACGCGTGTAATTTGAGACAGAGATAAAGGTTTTACCTGAGTTATTCATTTGACTTCTTGAACTTTTTAAGCTTGCACCAGGATCATGAATATTGAAACCAGTCCATTAGCCCTGAGTTATCTACATGAGCTGCATGCATTCACAACGGAAAAGATCACATCATCGCTCGCGCAAAATTCTCTGCTCGGGGTAGGAACACAAGAATCGCATGGCAAAATACGACGAAGATTACACCTATAATACCCTACCAAATAGTCAAAACCGATACTTATTTGAAAATGACGAGCACAGTATGTCGTTCGACACCCGACCCGAGACAGGTCGATATCATGTGTGCCAAACTGAACTCAAAACTCGATTTTATAATCCGAGCCTTGATCCACAAAACTTATTCCTCATGAATTGGCAAAATACACTGAAAAAATTTCCCGGACGACAATAGTCTAGAAATTAAATCATTCATAGACGATTGATCTCTTTGAATCGACCGGAAAACTCTTTAAAAATGCAAGACTTCTTTTTGAAATATCAGAAATACCGTTTGAAATAAGGAGATGTCCTGTTGACTCAACAAGAATTCGCCCGGGAATTATTATTTGAAATTCTATTGCTCCGATGGAAGATTTTTCTCCGTGTATCAAATATTTCTTACTTTGCTTAGTCCCAAAAAAGCCGTTTTAGAGCCTCTATAAAATGGTGAAGAGCCTTCAAATCCAAAGTTTCAGATCGGATATTAGAAGCAGAGCAGACGGCTTCTGAATTTGAAGCTCTATTAAGTTAAGTTAAGTGAGTTAAGTAATAATGTGTTAAGTTACGAAAATCACAGCCTCTCCTTTCTCTAATTCCT